GCACATTTGGGCGATTATTTTACGATGTAACAGATCGAATTGTGGAGGAGATAATGAATCATGAAAAATCTGATTAAGCGAGCATGAAATACAGTCGCATTAGTCGTGCGGTACTTAATCGTATTATCGCCTAATAATGGATAAATTTAACCGCAAAATCTCGCCAAGATTAACCGCAACGCCAATAATAACTAAATCTTGTTATCGGATGCCGAATCCAGCTAGCTGTTCACCATTATGGCATTAACCATGAGTTTTCCAAGCGAAATTTCATAAGAAAAGGCTCTCCCTTGTAATTTAAATATAATAATGCAATGTATTTATTTAGTATTAGAGATCGCCGTTTGGTGGGTGTAGTAAGCAATTCTCTATAATGTGGGAGCGTATTAAATTAATTCTTATACAACTATGACGAAACCTGCTTTAATGACATCCTTACTATCTGGGTCATAATATAAAATACTTTTCCCTACAAAATAAGATAAATTATACAGCTTTCGCCAAATTAATGCCTATGTATTTCTAATTTTTACCATAAAACTTGATATTTAGATAAAGGAAGGTTTTTTCCTTGTGTGTCTATTATCTCGATAAAGCAATAAGTTTCCTACAATTTCTTATCAACACAATATCAAGCCTACTTTTATGAACATCTACAACATCAGCAACATATAATAAGCATTAAAGTATAAAAAAAAAAAAAAAAAAAAAAAAAAAAAAAAAAAAAAAAAAAAAAAAAAATTTGTGCGTTAGAGAAAATTCAAATTTCATTATCCGTTGTTCTTTCCGAGACACACCGCACATTTTTCTCAATCAAAGCAACATTTCTTTACGATATAATTAATAAGTAAGCAATGTCATTTTCAATTACTTTGATTAATTTTCTTATTATAACACTTATCTCACAATTCACAGAAATCAAAATATGATTTGAATTTTTTGAGTTAAACTAATCATATGTGTGCGATTGTTCTCGTCTTAACGTGTAGCCGCATGCGGTGTTCTTAAATATTCTTTGAGAGCTCGAATTGTACAATTTTGAAAACATATAGGTATATGTTTATTTGTAATATACCTATATATTGTTATGAAAGGAATATTTATAAAGAATTCATTGTTACGAAAAGACAATATTATGCTTCAAATGGTGAGTGATTATTTCAATCAACAATATTTTCTTTCCGCTATATAAAATATTTATGCCTTAAAATTACATTGTAAAATATTTACATCGGTGATTCTAATTATATTTTCATGTGTTGGTTGCGTGGAGTGCGTGCGTGCGTATGCGTGGATGCGTGCTGTAAAAATTTTATATAAGAATTTAATGTGAATATATATATATATGTATATATATATATATCAATTAAAATTAAGTAAAACTATCAACTGCCAATTTTATAGTTTTTATTTCAAAATTTTTAACAATATATTTCAAACATTTCTAAAATAAAAAGAAAATACTAAAAGAATTAGAATTTTATTTATTATTCCCAACTGTCGTTAATGCACCATTCAAATCGTAATTACACAAGCATTAAAATGATATTAATTTTTTCCTGACGTTGAATAAAAATTACTATACAAGCCGTACAGAGTATATTAGAAATTTCAATATAATTAATTCGCAGCTGAAGGTGTGGAAAAATTCAAAAGGTACACGTAGTCATATTTATATATATATATATTCAATTCGATACTCCAAAGTTAACAATTTTATAAAGAAAAAACTTATGGCATTTAATCGTTGGAAGATGTTATTTCGCAAATAAATAATTGCAAGAAGAATAAATGTTTAGAAAGCAGGGAATAAATAAATAAAATCAGGTAAATAAAATTGTAAAAGTGCCAGTACTCAAGCGCAATGTGAGAAAATCAAAGTTATTATTATTGAAAGCTATGGCTTCCCGACAAATTCGCTGAAAAACTTTTTATTTTGATGCACCTACTATTTTCAGTGCGTTGTAAATAATTACATTGTTTAGACTAGACTTTTTTCTTTCCTTTTTCTTTTTCTTTTCTTTTTGTTCATTTCATTTCACAAATATCAACTACATCGAAAACTTTGCTCTTTGTTTTGTCAATAATTCAAAATAATGCCATCGAAAATATACGCGTCTTCGTATGCGTGCATACAGATAGAGAGAGAGAGAGAGAGAGAGAGAGAGAGAGACGGGCAAAATTTAATTAAACGAAATAAAATATTGTTGTTTCGATCAAACTTTGCCCAACGATTAAAATCACTCGTCCAAGTTTTTGTTACGAGAGCATCCGAGATATCGCTGTCTTGCATCACGTCTACTCGTATTTAAAATGAAGAAAGAAGGAAAGGGGACAGACAATAAGGCCGACCCAATATCGAAGTTCACCACCTTGTTGACAATAAAAGCGAGTAAGTTACATTTAGAAAAGAAAGTCCCGTGCGCGTCAGATTTCTCATAAAAATAGTATTGCCCTCGTAAAAAAGATTTTTCCTCGCTCTTGTGATGCATGGCGCATAAAATCAGACAGCAAGAGACGAAAAATAGACAAGCGGTCGAGGGGGAAATTTTGGAATTCCCGCCTTTGAGAGTTCACACCCGGGCGCCTTTATAATTACGCGGGGCTTGTGCGCGCCTCGCACACCTTTTGCCCAATTAGTAGCACGCGAGCGAATTTTGCGCGGTGGACGCGCGCGCGCGCGCGCTCTCGTCTTCCCTTCCCTCCCTTACTCGTCTCTCACCGTCCTCTCGTCCTCCTCACCCTACACCGCATTCTCATTCGCACGCACACACCCCTCTCCCTATCCAACCGCCTCGCACATCGCACTCTCACTCTTGCTCGCACACACGCACGCGCGCGCGCACACACACACACACACACACACAC